AGACATGGTAAAACAAGAAATTGAATGTATAAATGTTGCAATACTTGTGGTGAGCAAGCTAAAGTGAACAGGAATATAACATTTTGAGTCAGACAATGACACAGTGTTTTACCCAGGAAATGAACATTTCTAAGAAGAAATGGGATGACATTAACAGTGAGTAAAAATGAAACAAAAGCAGTCAAATGATATAATGCAAAGTCTGATGAAATAATATCAATAAGACTTCAGGGAAAACCCATAAATATAACCATAGTCCAAGTTTATGCTCCAACTGCTGAGGCAGAAGAAAAAAGAAACTGAAGAATTCTAAGTGGGAGTGCAGGAGGGAACTGATCAAACACCAAAACATGACTTCTTGTTAAACTTACCGTAGGTGATTGGATTGCAAAAGTAGAAAACAGAGTAGTATCAAAGTTTTTAGTGCAATTTGGCTTAAGATCAAGAAATAAATTCAGGAGTGTGACTGATTTAATATTGTGAGGCCAACAGTTTGCTCATCAAAAACACATTCTTCAAGCAACCCAAGAGATGCATCTATTCTAGTTCAATCTAAAATTTGTCAACAAATATGAAAAATTAAACAATGGTCCTCTGTAGTGGATTATAGAAAAATGAGACAAGGAGACACCACAGACTGAAGGAAATTGAGTTTTATTCTGAAAAAAAAATATGCTACTGGGCTCAATAAGAAATAACTTTCCAAAGGTACTGAGCTTTGAATTAAGCAAAATGAGAATCTTTTATAGTGATCTTACAAGCATATAGGAAAACTATTCCCCCCCTCCCTCTCTAATTCCATTAGATTTTACAGTATTCAGCACTTCTTGTTAAGCAGACATTGTTTATAGAATATCAGAATCTTATGTAGGATAAAGAAATTGTTTACAATACATGAAGTCTAGGGTACTATCAAAAGAACCTTGACTGCTGTTCAAAGCTAAGAGAAGCAAATAGACAGAAATTTTTCCAAAATCTCATCTAGAGTCCCATTTGATTATCTAGTCTGACCCCAAATCATAGGCAATCATGGACAGTCATTTAAAATACAATTTTCAGCTATGCAGTTGACTACTTCATTCAGATTGAAAACACTCAATATATACTCCAATCCCCAAGAATGAGGACACCAGGGATTGCAGTAACCATTGAACCATTGCATTAATCTCTCATGTAAACAAAAGGATGCTCACAATTCTACAACAAAGACTTTTACCATATATGGAATGAGAAATGCCAGCTGTCCAAGCTGAATTTATATACAGGAGAGGAACTCGGGCACTATGGATATTGCAAACCAGCATTGGATAAATGAGCAACCAAAGGATTTCAGAAGAAAATCAACCTGCTCTTTCTATATTATAGTCAAGCCTTTGATTGCATAGATCAGGGGTAGGCAACCTTTTTGGGCGGGGGGCCAGGTTGCTGTCCCTCAGACAATTGGGGGG